TTTTTATTCCTCTTTCCGTCTTTGTTAGTCCTTCCTATGCTACCACTTTAATTCTCATATTACCTTCTCTCTATTTACTACACTTAATGTTGTCTGCCTTCCCTTCATACCAAGTCTACCTCTATCTTTATGCTAGTGTCCCTGCGTTATAGTTTTATTATTTTCCATGCAATCCACATTTGGTCAACTAAACTCTCCATTCCATCTCCTTTAACCTCTTCTTCCTCTATCCCTGATTCTCCTTCAAACACCACTGTTCCCCTTTACCTTCATGCCTAATCCCCCCCTCTTTATGCCAGTGCTCAGTTTTACTTCCTATCTTAATTTAAATATGATTCCTTATATGTAATTGTTAGACTTGCGCACAGCCCCAAAAAATTTGGCTCACCCAAAATATATTGTTTCATATTGTTTCAGGCAGTTCAGGATTTGTCCTTGCGGTATTTCCATTTGGATGTATTTCGTCCTTGTGATCATTTCAGGAAAAACTATTGGGATGAACCAGTGAAAATTGGCCAACCAGTGTAATAAAAATATTACATATACTTTGCAGTACACTGCCATTGGATCACTTATCAAGTGACAAGGAGTATGGCGACGCTGAATGTTCCTCGAAATAATTAGCAGTTACATTGATAGCTGTTGTCATTTCACTTAAAGTTTTAGTTGTTTGATTATGACTGGCCTGAATGTTCTTTACAAAAATACATTTACCAAACCATTTTTCTGCAAAATCATCCCATACTTATTGTTTAAGGATAATTTCAAAGCTTCCTCCAATACAGAGAATACTACTCTATCGAGATTCTCAGGGGGCCCACATATATCCCTGACTCCTTAAAGTGACTATGTAGTCACCAGAACAACTACATCTTAATGTAGTTGTTCTGGTAAATATAGCCTGTCCCTGCAGACTTTTTAATGTAAACACTGCAGTTTCAGGGAAAATGCAGTGTTTACATTACAGCATTGGAACACCTCAAGTGGCCACTCCTCATATGGTCCCTAGTGGTGCTTCCTGGGGCAGTGCGACATAGTGTGCAGTACTGATGTTCAGCGTCTCCACGCTCTGCGTGGAAATGCTGAACTTTCCCCATAGAGATGCATTCATTCAATGCATCTCTATGAAGAGATGCTGATTGACCAGGGTGGTGTTTGGCTCCGCCTCCTTTGCTGAGATCATCAGAAATGACAATTTCAGGCAATCCAATGCTTTCCTATGGGAAACCATTGCTATTGGCTGAGATAATCAATTCTGATGATGTCAGCCAAGGAGGCAGGTTGGTGCGGTGTCAGACGCGAGGGATCTTTCTAACAAGGTTTTAGAACTATAGTATCAGAAATACAAATTTATGCTCCAGACACTATAATGCCCCTTTAAACTGCCTGGTTTCATTAAAAAACTTGTGAATCCATGAGTGAACTCTTTACCTTGGTGGTATGGCAAACCAAGGGTACCTGTGAATACTTGTATCGTCACATTCTTTTATGCCTGAGTATATCAGATATTTTGATTCCATTGTATCTGGCTACATTCTAAATACATCCTTCACATGCATACTGATCATACATTGCTACAAACGGTATCTTGGGCTGTCTAAAAATATATTTTCAAAAAATACATTTGATATTTCCATTCCATAAACTTAAATGTTAGAATTAGGGCATTATTATAAAATGGGCTTTATTATTTCTCCTGCTTCATTTTTTTTATCCTGATAAAGATGAAAATGATCAAGAATGAGAATTTTTGAAGTTTTTAAATCCAGACAAAGTCATTGAAATGCCAAAACCGGTGATATCTTTATGTTAATGGTGCAGTCACATCCTCTTTGGGTCTCTCGTCTTTTATTTTTGGATTTATAAAAGAGCTTGTTATCTTCTGTCCCTGTTATTAAAATATTCTAGTCATTTATTACAGTTGCATGAGTTTGTCTAAGGACAATATCTACTTCGCCAATACTAAACCTTGATTTGGATTTTATGGAGTGTTTTATGTAAGGTATAACACAGTCTACCCCCTTTTCTTCATATCGGTTTGCTTTATAGATATATAGAGATATGAGATGAATTTGAAAAATTAAAATACTAAAACAGTGACTTACATATCAGCAGAATATTTAGGAACAAGATTTCTATTTAATACTTTTAGTCCTTTTATTTTACTGTACTCCATTTTACTGTGCTTCTTACTTATCCTCATCTTATTTACTAATTTAGTTAATACTAATCTCCCTAATAGCGCAGTACTATTGGTTTTAGTACAGCTAATATAAAAGTGTATTTCTTCGGCAGGAGAAAATCATGATATACTAAGGATAATTAACTGATGGTGACCCTTAAAGGGACACTATAGCCACCTAGACTACTTCATCTCATTGTCCTCCTTAGTTCTGCAATGTAAATCACTGTGATTTTAGAGAAACCGCAATGATTACCTTGCAGGACTAAGACTGCCTCTAGTGGCTGTCAATCAGACAGCCACAAAAGGAACTTCATGCTTTCTAGACAACTTTTGGTTGCCTAACATTTGACGTCCTCACTCTCTGCACGAGGACATCCAGCGTTAGCTAAATTCCCATAGGATTTCCTTTCCGGAGGGCCTAATGCCCTCCCCAAAGGGGGAGCATTAGCTCCACCTGTCGGATGGTGTCGGAGGAGGCTGATCGCTGACCCATCACTGAGGAAGATTGGCTCTGGAATAGGGTGAGTGCAGTAAGGGTTTATTAACCCTTACAGTGTCTGAGTGGGTGGGCGTGAGGGAGGGGGCCAGAGGGAAGAATAGTGTAAGGAATATACCTCCCAACATTGGCTTGAGGGTTGGCATGGCAGCAATGTAAATCACATCAAAGAGATACATGGTGTCTATAGGAAGTGTATCAATTTAATATGGCTAGTTTGACTGGCAGCCATTTGAGTGGCTGGATATGCCTTTCAGTGGCTTTGCCGTATGCCATCTTATTGAATGATTGGCTTAGGATGCAGTTTTTAGGAATATAAATGTGGATTTTTAAAGTTATATTGCCCTGTTTGGAGCTTAGGTGCCTGCTCCCTCCCCCCAGTCTCCATGATGCCATCTTGCCTCCAAAGCTGAAATCTTCAAGACTGATCTCAGCCAATCCAGTGCTTTGGGTAGAGGGGTCATTCACAGGATACAAATAGCTGAGTTTTACTCAGAAGAGCAGCCAGACTGACAGCCAGGAGGAAAAGGAGCTCGGCCACACTACAGGGAAGGGGAGGTGATGAGAGAGGAGTGCTTCAGCTGCCTGAGGCTCTCTATAGAGCGCTCAGGCAGCTGCAGCGTTATAGGAAGCACCGGCTCTGCTTGGGCCCCAAGCAATTGCTTGGTTTGCCTGCCCGGTAGCAACGGGCCTGGACAGGGACATGACCCCAGACCACTTCATTGAGATGAGGTGGGTTCCATAGACAAACATCAGAATTGTTCCCGTCAGGTAAGCTGGGAGACACAATCTATGGTCAAAACGTTAAGTATTTCATATGTTATTTCAGATAATAATAAGACTGCACTGATGCCTCACATTGTCCAAAATCAAAATGGTTTATTTGCTCTTTTCTGGATAAAAAATAGAGTATGAAACTAACTGAATTTGATGAACTTGTGTTATTGTTTTGAAACCACCAACCATGCAATATTGCATTTAAGTAAATATGCACAAATGCTGAAGTATAATAACCAGTGGCATTGCTCATGATATGGATAATTAAATTGTAGTTGTTATTTGCTAAAAATTCATAAGCAGAGCCATCTTAAAGCGGCTCTGTCACCTTTTGGGGTCTTTTGCATATTTTGCAAAGACCCCAGATGGTGACTGTTCCGCTTGCATTCCTTTGGTTGCTGGAGGTAGGTGAAGGTAGTTTTTACCATCTTCTACCATGAGGTCCTCTTCAGCTCCTGGCTCTTCATCTGCCAGGAGCTCATGTGCACATGCTAGAGTACAACATTGATATCTATAGAGCATCCTGCAACACTGCAGGTCCCTCCATAGAAAATGCAATTTTCAGCTCTTCCTTTTGTCAAGCATAGGAAAAATACATAGGACAAAGTAGTCCCAATTTTGTCTTAGGATAACTTTTGACTGGGTTGGAATTTCCAACACAGTTTTATGAGCACTAATAATTAAAGATATATGCATTTTTAGTAAAGAAGGTGGGATGCCACGTTAATATAAGTATCCAAATTTCATCTCTATGGTCAGCTCGTGAAATTGCTTAGATGACATTTTTATCAATATTAGAGCGGCACTTTAAGCATCAGAAGGGAGTTTTTGGAAACACATCCTTAAGTTTTTGTCAAACCATTTTGAATGACTCCTTGCAAAATAACCATTACAATTAGCAATTATTGCTTAGCATGTCTTTTTGATGTAAAATTCTGAAACATAATTTGTCCTCTTCCAATATGGCCACAGCAGATACAAGTTCAAGATGTGATCATAAAATACCTTACAAATAGGGGCGGGGCCTGACCGTGGAGCCGAGAGGACGTTAGCCTCAACAGCTTCAGCCAAAGGCAGCACTACGCGACTAAAACGGCAACCAAATGGCAAATAAAGGCTACCAGGTAAAAGGGGACACCAGGACTCACTGAAAGATACCCTCCAAGCGACTATTGCTCCGGCATACATCCGATACCCTGGCGAGGCCTCCCAGAATGGCGGGCGCGGGAGAGACGGCTGCTCTCCTGCCACCGGGAATGGCTGGAAATTTGCCACAGAGCCCTCGTTCCCCCCCCCCCTCTGGACCGGTGGGGGTTATCCCGGACCACCCCCACACGATCCCCCTGACAAGAGGAAATCCAACAAACCGAACAGGCAATATGGAAGGTCGCTGGTGAGGCCTAAAAATAGCGGATGGCACATACAATGCAGTCCTAAGCAAAGCCTGGAGGGACACAGAGCTCCGACTAAATGGCATATTCTGCTCCTTCTGGGAGAAGCTGGAGATGCTCACATGGCCCCCCAAATCAAAGAACCTGGCTGATGGCACACCACAAGGCCGTCACGGAAAGCCCAACGGCACACTCAGACTCCCACCACAGGCTAAGCAAGCACCTGAAAAGGGCCACCCTGGCAACAGATGCCCAGAGCCATGCTGGCAGCAGATGCAACCAGAAAAGGGTGAGGAAAAACAATGAGATTCCCACAATGCAGCGCCAAAAACCGCCTTGCTTACCAGCAGCGTCCCAGCACAAGAGGGGCAAAGGCCAACACAACCGAACAAGAATGAGGCGGTCGACGAGGCCCAAAATGGCGACAGCGGCAGACCGACTACACCGTTACAGCTGCAGCCGATGACCACACCAAAAGGTGGGATCCACAACCGGGACTATACTTTACCTGCCAAGAGGGCCACCTCACCGCACAGAGACACTCCTCTCCCACAATACCAGACCACAGGCATCAAAGCGTGCACCAGCACAAGAGGCCCACAAGACCCCGCAGGGCAGCATCGTCTGACGGACTCAATAAAGGGGCAGCCACATGAACTCTGGGACCACTGCCTCCATCACGGATGCATACTATACACACTCTTACAGGTCCACCACACATATCCCTGCAGACCTACAGCAGAGTGGAGGCTTACCTCACGCAGCTATACCCACCAGGCCTCAACAATTAGACACATACACCCACTACACTAGGGATCAGTGGGGGGTATAACCCTTACATTATACATATGACCCCCAACACGAGATAAAACATATCTGGATGCTTAATATTACTGTCAGCTAATGTGTACAATTACTACATATCATAATCCTCCCAAATGTCAGTATGCTCAACCTGAGATATTGCCAAAAGGGCTTTACACTGAAGCGGACATACTAGTCCAACTCAGCTGTACTCGGCCAGATAAATGTTAAATGTTGACCGTAACATGTTATATTGTAATGTTGATCAATAAGTGTAGAAATCCTACCATTTTCTCTTCACTTAAATGCATGCACACACGTTATAATTACTATGCAAAATGTTTTACTTCATTTAACTCGCTATCGTATTGTACACATGTCTCGCCAATACGAATAACCAGGCTTTTTACATCTGAGACATGTCAGACCAGTTAAAATGATCATATAACACAAAAATGTGCAAATTTTAGATGCCGCTGTACAGCCTCAATATCTGTGTTTCTGTATAAGTGTACGCTGTTGTGGCATTTTGATTTTGCCTTGTACTCACCTGCACAACAAAAGAAAAAATAAAATAAAATAAAAATACCCTACAAATAGGAACGCACAGAAAACAGATTATCTTCCCTGCTAAGTCAACAGCATATGGCAAAATATATAAGTCAAATGTATTGCACAACATAGGGAAAAAACTGTACTGAACATTGTTTAGTTTTTGCATACTATTGTTTCGACAGGGTTCTTAAGCATCGTTAGGTGATTGCATTGAGTTACGCTGCTTTACATGACGTTTAATTTGTTGTATTTTACTGGTTATAGAACAGGCCTAAATGAAGTGTTAAGATTTTTTTCTTATTCTTTTTCTAATGGCCACTCTGCATCATTTAGCACATATTCACGGAGTAATTCCAGTCTGAATGAGCCAGGAATATGTAAAAGATCCAATCCAATCATAATATCAACTGACCTGACACTTATACACGAGCTAAACGGTTGATTACAATGATATATAACTGCCTCTATGTATGTTATTCCAAGGTACTTCACAAAATTAAAATGTAGTAAAATATACATTTACATTTCTGTTATGGTAACAATAATCATTTATTAAATATATTCTTAAACATTACTGTATCTATAATTGGCACTTTAATACGTTCATTTCAATGTGAAGTAGAGAAATAAGATCTACAATACAACTTTTAAATATAACAAGTCTAAAACCAATTTTATTGAAGCAATCACCTTGAGTATATGGAAATGTACAAAACTAGTATTGAAGGTGCTAAGCTATCAGGGTGGTGGGCCTTTCTATTAGAGCACAGTACCACACAGTTCTGGACATGCTAGAGAATAATTTGCTGGTTCTGCAGAATTGTGACCATTTGGAGTTTGTATTTGTTTTGATAGTGGACACTTGGTCTACATAAAATATATGTTTTGACACTATGTGGGATAGGCAGGATTGGAAACCACCACACGTTACAGGATACTGACAAGGACCAGTGCAAATACATGTTTTTTTTGTTTTTAAGAAATAGAGGCATTATTTATTATTAGTGATGTCCCGAATGGTTTGTCGAACGGTTTGCCACGGACTCATCATTGAGTAAACTTTGACCCTGTACCTCACAGTCAGCAGACACATTCCAGCCAATCAGCAGCAGACCCTCCCTCCCAGACCTTCCCACCTCCTGGACAGCATCCATTTTACATTCTTTGTGAAGCTGCATTCTTAGTGAGCTGTCCAGGAGGTGGGAAGGTCTGGGAGGGAGGGTCTGCTGCTGAGGGTCAAAGTTTACTCAATGATGAGTCCGTGGCGAACCGTTCGTGGCGAACCGTTCGGGACATCACTATTTATTATCTTTTATCCTGCCATCCCATTAAAGGTTTATAGTGGGTGGTATAAGTTAAATCAGTGGTTCCAAACCAGTCCTCAAGGCACGCCTACCAGTCCAGGATTTATGGACTACTCCGTTGTAGAAAGAAAAAACACATTGACACAACTGGGTAATCCCTAAATCCTAGACTGGTAGGCGTGCTTTAATGACTGGTTTGGAAACCACTGAGTTAAACTGTTGCTTAAAGACACGTGTCCTTAAAACCTCAAAAATAGAACAATATCATAATATCAGTGTTGGAATGTATTGCTGGTGAGTTCTGAGATTTGTTTGCTTCTCAAACTTATTTCAAATTATTGATATGAATTATATATTGTCTGTAAATGTTAATAGTCTTTTTCTGTAATGATACCAGAAACCCACTTAATGCAGTTGATTGAATAAATAATCAATTATAGAGAACCTGTAACTAAATGTCTTCTAGCATTTCAAAGTACACCACTTTCACACAAGCACTAGGGTTTATCATGCCACCTGATCACAAACTTAATAAAAGAAAATAACATTGTTCTAATCACATTCTACTTCAGTAATAATTCTCCTTTAATGAGTAACCTTTAATGCCTTGTCCGGACTAGTCAAACATATAGCCCCTAGATGAGCTATCAACATCTATACACGTTCCTTTATTTAAATGTGTTAATTGAATACTAACAATATATAAGGCCAGATTCTAATCCAAGAGATAGATTTAAAGGGACACCGTAGTCACCAGAACAACTACAGCTTATTGTATTGGTTCTGGTGAGCATAATCATGTCTGCTGACTAAAACCAACAACCCACACCCGTTGCCCCTAATAAAAGACGTGAGACCTTAGTATGTTGGGTAAGGGCAATGGCCACAGCTTTATTTATTAGCAAATCCCAGCAACTTCTTAACCTTGTCGGCTGTTGGGATGCTTCACCAACAGACAGATCTATCCCATTAAACCATGAGTCCGGAGAAGCCTGCCCCCGCCAGATGTTCCTGAGCCTACAGTGTTCCTTTAACGTTGGTTACTGAAAAGCAGTTCTCCTATACCTGCAGAATAGTAATATCTACAGGAAAATGCATATTTATTTGTGCTTATCTCTTAGAAAAGAAACTAGCTCTTATATTGCAAATGTTTATTTAGTAGCATGCACTGTGTATACATTTCCTTAGTATTAATGACTGTAAAATCATGCTTAGCATTTAAGACATTTATTTTTATTAGATCAGTTTTAACTTATATAAACTCATATCCAGTCTTCCAAATGCTAAGCACCAATCTTCATATGAAGGTATAAATCTATATTTATATTTGTAACAAAAGGGGGAAGCCTAACCTGCATATGGAGACTTTGGATTGCTATTCAGTTTCGGGACATTTGAAGCATTCCCCATTCGAATGCTTGCTACCGAACAATGGGCCACCTTGATTCTTAATTATGGCTCATTTACCTCCCTGCTCTATGGGGATTTTCGTATAAAGAAACACACGAATGCTATACGAAATGTATGGGTGGCCACCATTTCGTGACTTCAACGTGTTCGCGGCCATTTTAATTCCCGAACAGCGGTGTTTTGCCGTCGAGTGACTGGAACTAAAATCGGACACTCGAGTAGGTGAACACCGCTGAGACCTCTATAACATCGGGAAATTGTGCTACAACTACCAAACGACCGGGTGTTCGGTAGAAAGACTTAACAGCTTATGGGGATTCCAGCGAACGTAAGGTTATATACGGATGGCAAGCCGTTCGCGACTTTTTACACACGAACTAAGACCGACCGCAGGGCCAGAATTCATGGAACTGTTTTCGGCTACTTTGCCCGTGCGGTCGTTCAAAACTTTCAAGCCCCATATCTCCCGAACAGCTGAACCGAATGGGCTGAATTTTGACTATGTTGGTCCCCCAGAACAGAGCTATCTGGGGATTTATGCCTGTACCCCAAGTCTTTGGGACTTACTTCAGATGTACTCCAAGTCTTTGGGGTACATCTGAACTTTGGGGAAAAATGTGTTAGTTTTAATTATGTTATTTGGTTATCTGAGGGGAGGAGATGTGTGGAATGTATATTATGTTTATTGGTTGTTCTGCTAATTATGTGGGTGTCTCCCTTGCATGGGCAGAATCACATAAAAGAGAGTGTCTGTCATTAAAGGCCAGTTCTTCTTGACCCTTCAAAACATAGCCTTGTCTTGTTATTGAAAGGGGAATTTTGCAGCATAATCACTAAGCTCTTTTCAGAGCTGTACCTGACTTCTACATTGGATCCAGCAGAGGGGAATAAGCAACTTCATCATTGTACAGCGACTTGTCGGGAAGAAAAGGATGTCCCTAACGGCTGATACCCTCACTCTAACTGGGTAGCCGTTACAATATTAAACTGATTTCATTTTTTTTTCCAGATCCATGCAAACAACTGTACCTTGTTTATTATAAATGTAAATAATGAGTTGTCTTAGAGTATTAGGGGAAGGGTCCATAAAAGCATTGTGCCCCCAGTAGATATTTTTGTTATGGTGTTTCCCTATTACAGGTACCCTTGTAATTTTCTCTTAAAATGTGCATTTTTTTTAAAGAACAGTATAATGTTGTCATATATATTTAATTGTAATATTTTGCAATGGGTTTGTATTGCTCCAGTGCAGGGCCAGCCCGTCCATAGGACGGACTGGAGCCATGGCTCCAGGACCCTGCCTGCTTTTAGATATGGACTGCTGGTGGACTTCCTGGTGGTCCAGTGTGTTGTTAGAGCAGCCGCACTCCCTCGCGGTTCCGGCGCACTGTTA